TAACTGCCAGCTATTACTGGATGTGAGAGTATGTATCTGGATAAAAACTCCCCATGTGAAAAAAACACTTTCTCAATACACTTATTTCCATATCCGAAATGATTAAGTCTTTTAAAATTTGGTGTCATATTCGTTAATCAAAATGCAAATTCTGTGTTTCCTTAGTATCTTAAAATTATACATGTAGAACTAAAATGAGTTTATTAGCTTTCCACCAACACTTGAAAAACTAGCTGGCAAAACTTTTTTTTTTTTATGTTCACCAATATTCTGTAGAATTATCTGCAACACTTGATCACCAGTTCATAAATGCTTCATACAATCAGAATCAGCTGCTGCCTCTTCCTTAGCCTTCACTACTGTTAGTGAGAAAGGTAACATTCAGAGTCAAAAGAAAACCATAGCTCTAACCTCAGAAGATACGCTATGGGAATAAGATGTTGTTCCTTCTGCTCTATCCTCTTCACTATAAAGCATTACAGGAATGTTTCAGTCTAGTCTTCAACATAGAATTTTATTTTATAGCAAATTTTGAAAAAAAACCCCACAAACACAGAAATTTTACTCCACACTTCTGATGCACATGAAGGCAACATGCCACTATTTTAAACAGAAAACAAGCAGCTACAAAAACAATCACTGAGGATTCCTTTATCTCAACAGAATTGTAAATTTTTCTGACTTTCATAAAAAAATGTATCTATTTCTATGGAAGTCTGGATTCAGTAAGATTTAGGACATCCTACATGTTTCATACAATTGAGCAATTAGCATCTTTTCCTTATACAGGTTCTTTCTTACTTGCACATTTCTGGTTTGCAGACAAAAAGAGTTCACAAGATACAGGCCTTTTATGCAAACCTGAGTGGGCATTTCACATGAACAAAAGGTTTCCCACAGAAGTCAGTGCTTACACTCAATTATTAGCAACAAAATTTACAACTGAAACTTAGTAATGCCACTTTCATTTCAGATGGTATTTACAAGAATACGGAGAAGCATGTTTAGCTTGCCAGTTTCCTTCTTAAAGCTCATGTCATCGCAAGCACAGGCCACATATGCCGCCTAACACGGAGTCTATGCAACATATAAAAACTTATGGATTCCGAATGCTTCAGGCTTTTTCCAGCTGCTCCTGGTAGGTCACAGCTCCAAACCAAGTCACACCTGAGTCCGCTGTTTCCCCAAAGCGAACCTTAAAACTTGAGCCATGCTTTTAGCACTGATAGATAATCTTTTAAAGAAACTACCCTCTCGTTATTTATCTACTGTTCTTATAAAAGGTTGCATATGCTGGTATTTCACAGAGCTTTTAACTTTAAATCATTACAATACATGACAGTACAAATGAAGACACCGAAAAAGTTTAAATATAAGCTGCCCATTGATCAGCCTTTAGAAAAGATGAAAAATACGTAACAGATCTTAAATATTTAGTTCCTCTTATCTTCCTGCATTTTTTTAAATTGGTTATTAAGAGTCTTTATATTTTCAACGGAAAACAGAATCAGCTATTTGCTGTAAGGTATATTTTGTTGTAGTAAATGCATAAACTGTACGAGGCATTTGTTTTGTAATTAAAAAAATATGAAAATTTTAAGTATCATTCCATGTTCTGCAGCAAGAACAATTCATGGCAATGCCCTGACAGCACGTTACACAATGAGAAAAATAAATGCATTATATTGATAAATCTAGTCTGTTTAGTGAAATACTTGTCTGAGATACTGAAATGAGTCATCGATCACCACTACCCAACTGTCTATTCCCATCTGCTATCACGTCCAGTTTCAGGACTGGCAACTGAAGAGTCATCTCAGAGTTAATGAGTTACGCTGCTATGTACTATTTAATGAGTTAATAGTTATGCTGCTATGTACTATTTAATCACTGTCATGACTTTAACGTAATCTTGTAAAAAACACCATTTGCAGAATGTCATTAAATAGAGAGTCATCTTTTCTTCCAAATAAGCCTGCTTCACCACAGTTGTTGAAGGTTTGACTTGACTTTGGAGATGATAGTTTCTTCCCGCTTGAAAACAGAAGTCCCTGATAAACATTACACAATGCAACTTCAGTCCCACCGTGTCTGAAGGTTCATGTTTTCAGAAAAGTAACTATTCTAATTCTGAATTCTTTTGTATTCCTGTGGGCACAATGGTTCCTTTTTCAGGGTCTTTCCCCACTGTCTTGACACTTAAATTCTTAACTCCTTTTCTATTTCTAGCAATTACGTTCTTTACTGAATCTACTAACTTTTTATTCTTACAGTCTAGGGACTTCCAATGTTCACTTTCTCTCTTTCAAGAGAATTAATGCAACCAGACTCAAACAGCTCAGTTTTACATTTTCCTTCCCTTCCTCTTCAAAGCGCCAATCCTTTCTATATTCATCCAGCAGAACTACGATATCCTTGCAAGCTTGTATCTTTTTGCCATTAGACCTTTAATACCTGTTAAAATCAGCACCTTTGCACGTCACCGACAGCTGATTACCTACACCACAATGAAATACATTCAAGTTGCTAGCTCTTCTTGAATAACCTAATTATTCAGAGAGTCAAAACCAGGAATGCAAGACAACTTTCCTGTGCCTACAAACAGGTAAGGGTGGTCTCAGGGTACAGGTGCTACATCTTGAGTTTGACCTGGACATCCCAGATTTTAGGATATTTGTGAGACTATGTCGACAGTAGTGATGTGACTCAAAGCAAGCGTGGTTTTGTAGTGAATGCTGTGCTACCTCTATTTACCACATACTGACTTGGATCTCAAAGTAGTTTCTGTGTGCCCAACTTGCTTTTTTTAAGAAGAAATCCTCACTTCAAAAACATTTCAAAAATTAACAGGGTATATCACAAGGCAATGTGAAGGCCACACCTGAACGTTTATCTAACACTTTTTTACCTTTTTGAGAACTTCAGACTGCACGTATTACAGACATTCAGTCTTAAGAAACAGACTAAATTGAATCTGAAGTAAACTCTCTGAATCACATGTGATGGAGGTGTGAGGAAACTCAACATCAACCACTCAGATCCACTGATCTGCTCCTACTGCTCCTTACTAATGGGGACACGGCCCCAGGACCCAAGAGCATCCTGGACTCTGGACTGAGTGTAGGAGAGAGCAATTCACAACTGAAAGAAACTAAAAATGAATTCTTTGCACCATAGGCTCCATGTATTTCTGTTCTAAACCCTTGGCAATGACCAGGCAGGGCAGGTCAAAAGCAAGCTGTCAGCCAGCTTTTGCTTGAAGCACAAGAAGGTGTAGATACTACCTACGCCATCCACTCTCACCTCCAGCTGTAAAGTGTGATCTCCCTACCGGTCTGAAACAAAGCCCAGCCCCAGGTCTGGGTCCTGATAGACCAACCACATCTAGGACCTGAAAGGGAAAGCAGCGCCTGGCTGTTTTGCACTGTCTTTCTCCAAGAGCTTATTTGCTCAAGTACAGTACAAAGCAATAAAGCACATCAGGCCCGGCACTGTGCTAGACCGAATCAGTCCTCCCCAGATCCATAGGACAGCAAAGCATGGCATAGACACGCTGCACTGACTTCACAGCGGAACCTTTACACAACAGCTGAGTGTCTCTACACTATTTCCCTTACAATTTATTTTCTTTCCAGTGCTGTTCCCATCCTGCACTGATCTCTATATAGCCAGAACACATGGTAAGGCATGAACTACATATGCTGCAGATTTTCCTAATGTACAACAAATAATGCTCTCCAACACTTAAAAAAGAGAGCATTGCTTCAAAATGGTTATCCTCCACACTTTTAAATTCCTAGCTTCTTTAAAAACTGAGCTTCAGAAATCTTCTGCATGTGCACGTTTTATTTTCTACAGACTAAAATAAATTTCCTTCCCCATCCCGCATCTTTAAACTTCTTCACAAGTTTTAAAAGCCCCCAAGTCCTGGTGTGACCCTGTTGTACACAAGTGTGACCAGCACAGGATGCTCTTCAAAAGTGTTGTGAGAGCGAGTTAGTTACCACCACCCAGGGCAGTGGGTGCAACCACCTGTGATCACCTCCCTAGTCAGTGGATTGGCAGGGATAGAATGAACTGACTTATCCTCAGCCACAAGAGAATACAAACCTGAGGGAGAACTGGCATGCTTTCCTACTCTGGAATAGACCAAACCTAGTATTCTTTCCTCTGCTGACACCACAAGGATCACCATCCACAGAAGTAAAAGTACAAATTACAGCAGAAATGAGTCACCAGTGGGTGGGGAAATCGAACAGAATAGAATCACCTACATCCAAGTAACCCAAAGTCACAAGGGACTCCCACAAGAGGCTGGCTAGGTTCAGGGAAGACTATGTCATAAAATAATAATAACACTCATGAGGAAGTCTGTTTTGCAAGGAAAGTGGATAATGGTCTGTAAGGTGAAAATGGAGGGAGAAAATGGGTATCCAAATTAAGAGAACACAGAAATTAAATTTATAACTACTAATACAACACATGCTGTACTACAGAAAGTTTGTCAGTTGTGTAGATCCATGTTCTCAGAACCCTTTAACCACTAAATTGTATGCTCTTTGTTTAGAAATAAGCAAGGCTTGACCTCAGCTGATCCCCCAGTTGAATCATATGACAGTTGACCTGCTCTGAGATGCTCACAGCTACTCCAAGTTTCCTCCTGCACAGTTTGAACTGCAAATTTCATAAAAATACTTTCTTGTTCTTCATCCAAATCACTAATAAAAACTTTGAGCAGTTCTGGACTTCAACAGACAGCTAGTGGATCCCTCTGGATACTCCCCTCCAGCTGACAGGTAACATTTCTGACTATTTCAAGAACAGTTTCGAACCTGCTATGCACCCACGTAGCAAGTTCATAATCCACAGTCTTAAATTTTGCACACAAAAAGGCATAAAACATTGAAGTACTGTCCACTGAGAAAACAATTTTGATAAGAAGCTACCTTGTCAAACCAACAATTTCACTTTGGTTTTCACTACCTTGTGAATATACTTACGAGTCATTACTCGGTCCTCTATTTTTCCAGCACCCATGCCATAACCGTAACCTGGTTCATGAAGGGTTTTTTCTTTTGAGGTCACTAAAAACTCATGATTTAGCCAGGTTAATTTATTGCTATACTTGTTAGCCTTCATCCACATTAGGGTAATTTGTACTTGTGTCTTTAACAGTTGGAGGAGTTAGAGGTATGAATTGCCCTACACACCTTTTCCCTTTGTTTAGACATTCACAGGCTCCCTTTTATCTGTTTTCTGAATTTATTGAAGCCCATTTTCCTGAAGTAAGTGGTCTTCATTCTACTTATTCCCTTCCCTCCTTAATGACTGTTACATCCCACATCTCACGGTCAAGCGTGTCTGATTGTAACAGTGAGTTCCATCAATTAATATAACACAGAACAAATCAACAGAATAAAAAGCAGAGTTTGAACACTTTCATGAAAAAGTTTCACCATCAATTTCTTCTTCCTGTGGGGAAGTCTTGGTTACTTCATTCAGAGTTCTTTCATTCTGCTGATGCTGAGGGGTTAGGTCTTTTTAGATCATCTAAGGCGACAGCTAGTGCAGTGTCAAATATACATCAGTAAATTAAACAGAAAACAGAATTTTCAAAAGTAGTATTTTCACACAGAATTCTAGTAGTAGTATTTTTCACATGCACTCTCCTATTCTCTAGTTACATAAAAAAGGACAGTAAGGGAGAATTAACTGACTATGAATGAACACATTTATGGAAGATGCGGTATTACTTTTGAGTACCTCAAATTTCAGTTTGTAAAGCAAAATTATAATAACTCTTCCCTTACTTTCATTCTGAAGACAGAAGAGAAGCATGGGAAGAGTGAATAAAACATTAGCCCTTTGCCAGATACTTTTTCCTTATTCTGCTTTTTAATATTTTTTTAAAATACTCTATTTTTCCAAGATAATATGCATTTGACTGGGTGAGATCAGAGGAATTAAAAAGCTTAATAGGAAACTACTAGAAGGCGGAGAAAAACTGAGGTGAATATGGTTAGGAAGTGTTAGAGACTCTAAAAGTTCTAGCTCTTGATTTTGTTTCAAGACATCTTTGTATAACCTCATCCTATCTAACAGCTCATCCTCTTCATTTCCACTTCTGTGCCAGTTCTACCTTACAATTTATTCTTCATCAAGTAATTTCAATGTATTTTTCTATTAAAGCTTTCCGTAGAAAGGCCAAACGAATGACAGTGAAAAGTTAGCAGCAGTAAGAAAGAACACAGCGGGAAGAGATCTCTCCATTTTGGTGGCAGTGAAACCAGTGCAAGCTGGTGGTGCAGAATTTTCAACAGATCAAGACAAAGAAAGTAAGACAAGTGGAAGAATGAGAAAGGAAAATCTAATAACAGAGGAGTACTGATAATTCAGTAGACTTGCATTGTGTCATCTGTATCACCAAAATACACTTAATGTGCAGGAGCCTTAAGATTTATAGAAGTGCTGTTCTCACTCACATCAGCCAGAGTTGCAACTGCAGAGCATTTAAGAGCCAGCACTCCCTGCTTAAAGCAAAATCAGAGCAACTTCACCTCTGAAGCGTTATGTTCAGTATTCCTACAGTTCACCTGAAGAAAAACTGGGAAACATAAAGGCTACCACAATGTGTTCCTACATACAACTATTTCAACTCATTATTAACTTTAAAAGCCTCTTAAACAGTGCTCCTGATGAGTTCAATAGCTATGTCCCACCTCTCCTGCCCTCTTAGTAGCACTCAACCACCCTATAATTAAGTTCTAAATACAAAGATCAGTCTTAAAGTTTCAGCAGAGGGCTTTCACTGTGAAAGGCATGCCAGCATAAATTCAAATATTGAGAAAAAGACTGAGTATTTTGATAAAACAAATCATTTTTACTGGTAAATAAGGACTGGCGCTGCAATAATCACACACAAAAAATCTGATTGCAGTTTTTACTGCTTCCCGTGTGCTAGAAGACACAGCCTTTCGTACATCCCTCAAAGTCACCATGAACCCCAACAGCAAGAAGACCAAAAGCTGAAAGCAAGATGCAGAAAGCCTGGAAGTATTACACTATCATAGTAATGGAGAAGAAAAACACACTGCTGACAAAAGGGTGCGCGCATCACCTTCCGAAACACTTGTTTGAGCAGACGTGCTTTAAGTCACTGCCAGTCATTCATGAAGTTGCACAGCAAAACAGGTCAAGCGAACTGTTCTCAAGGCACTACATGTTTCTGAAGGGAAGGTGTGCACCCCTTCCCTCCCTTCCTTTTAGGAAGGGTGCTGACTTAAGTGACCGCACAGCCTCAGAGCTTCTACTTCTCCTTGCACTCTGAAGAATATAAAGTAGAAAGTCTCTATGGCCTGGAGGTGCTCTAGTTGATGTGGTCATACAAAACATATGGAGTACAGCAAGCAGATAAAAAAGCCTGTGCAGGGAGAGGAAAGAGGACTGTAAAATATTATAACACGTTCATTTAAATACCTTCAGGGAAGCTGTCTTCAATAAATTATACATAGCTGTACAGCATAAGCACAGCATCTCTAGACAATGATGTGAGTACATGCTGTAAGAGCACCCAGGCTCCGGGAACACAGGCAGAAACCTAGAAAACTATTTTCCCTCAGGAGTGCAGAGAGCATACATACAGAAATTCATTTTAAAACATATGCAGAAGCGCTCTGAATTATCAAGAAGAGTCAATTCTTTTACTGCTGCCTACTTACCTGCTACAGGGTGATGCCTACACTCCAAAATCTTTTGATGGCTGGCTTTAGGTTTTTTCTTGCAGTACAGCATCTGCCTAATGAGAAACTGAACGTGGTTTCGAAGCGAGCCGCCCAGAAGGGGCCCACCCTCGGTCCCCTCAGCAGCCGCACCCTCGCCTTCACTCAGAAGCCGCTCTTCTTTGCCACCGGGCAGCGGCAGGCGCCGCAGCGC